AGAACGGCAACAATAACACTAAGAACGATGAATGGAGTAGATGAACTGAAATATAATTTCACTATTTACAAACCACAAACCATGACTGAAGGAAAAAAGATCAAACCAGTCATCTTTCTTAATTACATGTGGGTAGGCCTGCTATATTTAATCAGCTCCACATAATTAGCAGGGTCTTTCCCCAGTTTACAAAATACAGACTGCCATTCTACAGTTCTTTTAGTCTACCCTTCTCCTGTCTCATTTGTGTTATTTGGTACAATGATCTGACACTAGTTTTATATCACAGTTTCACCTACGCAGAAAGGTGAACCAGTGCCATTATGTACTTGTGGCGTCTAATTGAACCAAACCATGTGCAGGAGATGGAAAAAGGCAGAGAGCAGATAGCCTGCACCAGAGCTAATGCAAGTGATACCCCCCGAAAAAGCCCAGCTCATAAATGTAATATCCAAGCTACAAGGCAATTTTCATTTTGGCAAAAAATCTGCGGTTTTTCCTACTTATTACCATAGCTGAGGCAAAAAATAAATAAATAAAAAATATATATATATATATAATCATCCTCATGAAGTCCCAATGTAAATTCAAAGTCCCTTAGGAATTCTTAAGTAGTTGTCCTGCTATCTTCTTCAGTTAACTTTTTGCCAAAAATACAAAAGAATCCATTGCAAAAGTGAAGGTTTGTAATTGAACCACTTTGAATATTCACTGTACAGCAACATATGTGTGATATTCAGTGGTTCTAAAATAATCTTCTCCCTGGACAGTAAGCACCAGTAAAATTTAAATTAGTGTAATTAACCTAACCTAACGTTACAGAGCTTATACCCAAACCTAAAAACGTCATGACTTATTCCTAGCCTGAAGAAGTTTAAAGGAGAAGTTCGGTTTTTTACACTTTAAGCCCATTTTCTGTAGTGTCCAGGATGAAATCGAATGAAGGACACCAAAATTTTGACAATTGCTCCTGTCTCTGCTTTTTGGCTCATTTAGAATCAACCCCTGGCTGTTTTCCTGTAGTGTTTTATTTAGCATTTTGTAAATCCCATTGAGTTCTGTAGGAATAGTCAATTTTCCGCTGCCACCGGAAACGGAAATGGAGCCTGTTTACACAGTTGTAGTCTTTTCGCTTCACTCTGTGTACTCCGACGTCGAGAATCAAGAATCCACCTTTCGTATTCCATTTTCAGAGTTTTTTAAAGTGTTTAACAGAGACGTTAGCACCTCGACGTCGGAGTACACAGAGTGAAGCGAGAAGACTACAACTGTGTAAACAGGCCCCATTTCCGTTTCCGGTGGCAGCGGAAAATTGACTATTCCTACAGAACTCAATGGGATTTACAAAATGCTAAATAAAACACTACAGGAACGTTTTTTCTTTACGAAACTTTTTTTGGAACGTCATTGAACAGCGCTGACGACCCGGTGAGTAGCATATTTTAAAAAAAGAACGTTTAAGGTTGTTTTAAGGACATTATCGGACATGCTCTATGCTAGCCATTCTAAAGCAGCCAGGGGTTGATTCTAAATGAGCCAAAAAGCAGAGACAGGACCAATTGTCAAAATTTTGGTGTCCTTCATTCGATTTCATCCTGGACACTACAGAAAATGGGCTTAAAGTGTAAAAAACCGAACTTCTCCTTTAACTTACACATACACCCAAAGAAGTCACATCTTATACCTAAACCCAAAAAAGTCATGATTTATAAGTACACCCAAGGTCATGACTTATAACTAAACCTAAAGAAGTCATGACTTATACCTAAACCCAAAGAAATTGTGACTTATAACTAAACCCAAAGAAATCATGATTCATTACTAAACTCAAAGAAGTCATGACTTATAACTAAGCCTAACGAGTTCATGACTTATACCTAAACCCAAAGAAGTCATGATTTATAAGTACATCCAATGTTGTGACTTATAACTAAACCCAAAGAAATCATGATTCACTACTTAACCCAAAGAAGTCATGACTTATAACTAAACCTAAAGAAGTCATGACTTATAACTGAACCTTAAGAAGCCATGACTTATAACTAAACCTAAAGAAGTTGTGACTTATACCTAAACCAAAAGAAGTTGTGACTTATAACTAAACCCAAAGAAATCATGATTCACTACTTAACCCAAAGAAGTCATGACTTATAAGTACATTCAATGATGTGACTTATAACTAAACCTAAAGAAGTCATGACTTATACCTGAACCTTAAGAAGTCATGACTTATAACTAAACCTAAAGAAGTTGTGACTTATACCTAAACCAAAAGAAGTTGTAACTTATAACTAAACCCAAAGAAAATCATGATTCACTACTTAACCCAAAGAAGTCGTGACTTATAACTAAACCTAAAGAAGTCATGACTTATAACTGAACCTTAAGAAGTCATGACTTATAACTGAACCTTAAGAAGCCATGACTTATAACTAAACCTTAAGAAGTTGTGACTTGTACCTAAACCAAAAGAAGTTGTGACTTATAACTAAACCCAAAGAAATCATGATTCACTACTTAACCCAAAGAAGTCATGACTTATAACTAAACCTAACGAGGTCATGACTTATACCTAAACCCAAAGAAGTCATGATTTATAAGTACATTCAATGATGTGACTTATAACTAAACCTAAAGAAGTCATGACTTATACCTGAACCTTAAGAAGTCATGACTTATACCTAAACCAAAAGAAGTCATGGTTTATAAGTACATCCAATGTCATGACTTATAACTAAACCTAAAGAAGTCATGACTTATAACTGAACCTTAAGAAGCCATGACTTATAACTAAACCTAAAGAAGTTGTGACTTATACCTAAACCAAAAGAAGTTGTGACTTATAACTAAACCCAAAGAAATCATGATTCACTACTTAACCCAAAGAAGTCATGACTTATAACTAAACCTAACGAGGTCATGACTTATACCTAAACCCAAAGAAGTCATGATTTATAAGTACATTCAATGATGTGACTTATAACTAAACCTAAAGAAGTCATGACTTATACCTGAACCTTAAGAAGTCATGACTTATACCTAAACCAAAAGAAGTCATGGTTTATAAGTATATCCAATGTCATGACTTATAACTAAACCATAAGAAGTCATGACTTATAACTGAACCTTAAGAAGCCATGACTTATAACTAAACCATAAGAAGTCATGACTTATACCTAAACCCAAAGAAGTTGCGACTTGCAACTAAACACAAAGAAATCATGATTCATTACTAAACCCAAAGAAGTCATGACTTATAACTAAACCTAACAAGGTCACGACATACCTAAACCCAAAGAAGTCATGACTTATAGCTAAACCTAAAGAATTTGTGACAACTAAACCTAAAGAAGTCATGACTTATACCTTAGCCCAAAGAAGTTATATCTTACACCTAAATTTAAAGAAATCAGGACCCACTTGAGTCACCATATCTATAATGGTAAACACAGGCTTTAAGGGGGAAGATTATTTCAGGGGAACTAAATGTTACAAACACCGGTCTGAAGACACGATTTTTAGATTATCACAGGATTGTTGAAGGTCGAACTCATGTGTTTGCAATAAAGATTAGTGGACCCTTTTTTAAAGTCTTTTGAATTCAACTAAACTGCCTTTCAAGACCTGTGTTTTCTACTTTATACAAGATTTACATATAACGCTAGTTTTTGTGATAAAAAATTTGGGCCAACGGACAGGACAAATAACAGCTTTGCTCCTATATCTATTTTGTAAACAAATGTCAAGATATTCTGTCAGGCTTTTGTTTATTCTTAGTTTTTTCTTACTGCCCCCCACTGGACTGGAGCAGTATGGTGATTTTTCTTCCTTTACATCATTGCACTATTTTAAATAAACTAATTATCCATTAATTATCCTTTAAAAGCAATGGGCAAAAAAGGAACACGAATTAACTATGATCTTTTTACCTAAAAATAATACAATTCCAAGGTATATCCTAACTATAGGACTTTTGGCTAGAAAATTGGCCAGTGGTATGTTACCATAACAGTCATGCACTATGTGAACTAACCATCTGATTTTCCTATTTCCCTAGTAACATTTTGTTATTGCTTTTGTATTTTTGTGACATTTGGTAAGACTGTGTCAGAAAATACAGAATAGTCCTGTGACCTCAGTCCTATTTATGACAACTATGGAATAAGGCTCCAGAGCAGGACAGGGCTTTCAATCATGGGATATGGTTTACTGTGTTTTAGGAGATACTTCCCCTTTTTTAAACTCCTAATGGTTCTAGCATGACAGACCACAGCTCATCCTGGTAGAGCTTGATAGTCTTCTTTAATACTTCCGTTGGTTCATCTCTTAAGCTTTATTTCTTTTCTTTCTCACTCTGTTTTCTTCTGTAACAAGAGCAGTTATTAAATAATGAAGCTGTGGTTTGGTCACAAGGTTAATGTGGATAATTGAAAGATGACATGTAAGTTTGTTGACATTTGACTTCTGTTGCCATGAGTGTTAGCACAGACAATCAGCCTGAGTCTAGACCACAGCTGGCACACGCGAGGACAAATCATGTCTCCAACTATAAATGCGTGCGTCTCTCTCTATGTGTGTGTACATGCGTGCCCTTTATGTCCGTTCTCACAGTTCCCTCTCCCACTTTCGGAGACAAGAAACCCAAGTGCCAGCATTACATCATCTCGATGAAGTGTCAGTTAAACATCATATAACATGATACTGTACAGCAAATGAAAATAACAGGGAGTCTTAAAAAGAGTTAAGTCAAGAATAAATGGAGGACAGTACATTTCCTCATGTTAATAAATAAAATATTGATTTTTGTTTAAGACTTTACAGGGTGCTACATTACTTCTGTGGTAAAGAGGTCACTGGTGCCTTGGGCTAAATGTTTCAACAAATCTGACATCACTACTGGATGTATGAGGTTCCCAAAACTGGAAGTAGAATTTAAAAGACTGTTGAATCAAAGCTTGAATGTAAATTTCAGAAAGTATTTTTATTTATTTTTTTTACAGAATCACGCCCCATGTCCATACCAATGAAGGTCATACCGGACACTGCAATCGACGGGTCTTGGACGACGTCCGATGAACAAATGAAGGAACTTTTCAGTCATGCCTGGGATGCTGTCAAGCGACTTACTGTTCAGGTAATCTTCTAGATCATTTGTTTTTATATACACATTGGTATTGGCTTTTTGTAGAGATGAGTTGTTATTTTAGGGTTTCCAACCAAAAAAAAAAAACTACGGTAATCTTCAATCCTTTATTTTTGTCCTTTCACTCCAATGATGAATTACATTTCTTAGAGTCCAGTTTTACCCACTCCTGGTTATACATCTATTCTTTACCCAATTTGTTTATAAGAATATAAGTATTCATTGCAATCACTATATAACGTGGCATTACATAAAGGCATAATGTATGTAATGCTATGTTCACACCGCACATGCACACACATACATTTAAGCAGCAAAAGCAGCTAGTTTTCATACAAAGGCGCATCAAAAGGTCCTGCAGTGTGTCTCGAGCAGCAGGAGCTGCGCATCTTGATGCATCACAGCAGCCGAGTAGCGTCTCATGAGCTTCTGAGCTGGACACGCTTCACAGGCAGCAGATGCCAGAGTTGGATCAGAGAAGCTGATCTTGAAGCTGACAGGGAGTGTCAGGAAATGCTGCTTATGCTTAGTGGTATGACCACTCCTCTGAAACTGTTTATTAACACCTAAATTAACTTAAAATGTCGAAATCTACCAGAAGAATATGTTCGTATTTATTAATCTGGTGCCTGAAGTTTTTAGCATATACCTAAAAAAACGCTAACATCTACTTCCAGCCGCCATGAACAGTAGGGGAAATGCCCAAAAGGCAACCGGGCCTGAGGCAGCTGCTGCTGGGGATTCCCAGTGACAGCACCCCACCTGTATGTGGGGGTTGGAGCGCCTCCATCAGCCAAATAATATTTAAGCAAATTTATATTTTCTCGCTTTAAAATATATCAAAACAACTTTTTACCCACGATCACAGCAAATATAGCAAAGCCGCTCTCTGCCATTGAACGCAGGAGCAGCAGAAGCTTCAGATGCATCTAGACACACTTTACTAGAGGATGTTCTTGAGGCACGTCTGACCTTATGTAGACAAGCATAAAAAAATGAAGCAGCAGGTTATGCTGCTGAAACCGCGTTAGGTGTGAACGTATCACAAACCAACATTTTCTAACCCATTGTTTAGGGGTTTATGCTTGTTCAAGCTGATTCAATATACAAGGTACAACATCTGTCTGTCTGTCCGTCCATCTGCCCGTCTTTTTATATAATTTTGTTGCTTTGAAATTTAACACGCTTCCTGCCTTTCATTCCAGCTTTGAAAAATAACATCTGGCATATCGACTAAAATTTTTTCGCAAATATAAAGAATAAAACTCATTGAAAATTTAGTCTAGAGGAAAATATTTCAGATCAAATCAAACATGTTTGATAACCAGTGAAGCCCAGTTTCTTCTTTTTTTTCTTTTTCCTGAAACATCTTCATTCTTTTTCAAAAACATGATGCCAGTCAAACTGGGGACTGAGAAACACACATTTGAACTGAAATTATACAGTAAAGTCAAGGTTCTGCATCAGTCCATTGAGGTGTTAACAGTAGTTTCGCAAAAGTAACTCAACCTTCTAATTGTTTGCAGAATCCATCATTACCTCCATTTTCCTTTGTCCCCTACATCACTACACCACCAACTGCAGCAGTAATTAGAAAACACTCTGTCTTGTTGACATGGAAGTGGAAGCAATTCAAACTGAATAACCCGACTGCTGGTACCCCTGCTCTGGGATAGTCCCAAACCTAAACAGATCCTTTAATTTTGGTGTGGTGTAAACAGAATACCAAATAGCTCACACTACTACTGTACCGCAGAAGCGACGGAAGAAAAACACCACAGGGAAGCTGAGTCTAGTCCACTCAAAGCTACAAAGCATTTGTTAGTGTCAGGCTTTCTAACCTTTGATCTATTTGAACAGAATAGTGAAATCTGATGGTAATTGTGTAGATTATTGCTTTGTTGAAAACCTGCTTACGTTGTTAAATCATCCAATAAAGTAAAAAATCAGTTCAGCTCAGTCTATTTCTTTAGCACAGCATCACGACATGTCATCTCATGGCACTTTACAGAGATAAGTTTTGACTGACTGCATCCAGTCTTTGGCTTTGCAGGATTCACTACCCTTAGATAAGGATGTGGAGATAATAGGTGTTTCCTTGCAATGTGTCGTTGACTCTGCAACAATCCCTTCCTTCTTTTCCAGTATTAAACAGCAAAAAGTAAAATGAAAAATAGACTAAGAAAGCAGCATATAGTGTAAAACACTAGCCTGGTGAGGCAGATTGACACGTCATCACCTTATCAGTCTGGTGAAGAGCCTGTAGAGCTTGACTTCAAAGGTGAGGCTAACAGCATCAGCATTAACAGGTCAGAACCAATCCGATAACTATAGATGTGACGCACCAATTCAAAGTGACATTCTTTGTCATTATTGCGGCTTCCAAACAAATCCTTTTGGCCGCTGAGAGTTGGGTCGGGTCCTCCTTTCTTGCCCTATTTGTGACACGCTTAAACGTTTATTGTTACAGATACGCTGGAATCCAGGATGCTTTCGTTTATTAGCACCAGCAAAAGTTATGACAGTGCAGCAGGGATGATTGTAGCAAAGTGAGATCCGTTAATTAATGTAGGAATCAAATGAATTCTGAAACAAAATAAGATGAAGCGGTCAATTAAAATTACGGCAGCCCCACCCTTTCTCTTCTCATCAGTGAGACAGGTGAGTGCGCACTTATACACACATACTTCCTTGGTGCACACCCACCTCCCTTTGAGTCTCCACCTCCGAGACACACCATACACCACATAACCATTTATGTCTCCTACAGTCATTTTGTAGTCTGTGAAACATAAGCTGTTGAAGAAACTCTCCACTGAACAATTTCTGGAACTTTTGAATAGTGTTGCACCGATACCATTACCAGTATCGGGCGGGGCCCCGATCCAGCACTAAAATGGTGGTATCGGTGAGTACCAACAAAGATGGCACCGATGCCATTTTGAGAGCCAAAAGTTTATTCAACTATTGTCACTCTTTCCAGGTAGGCAATAAAAAGTTCTACTGGATTCACTTTGTTTTAGTCTTTTTTCTGCTTCACAAAGGTAGGCAGCAGCTTGACAAAGCCATGATGGCAATTATTTTACATCCAAGTAGTATGCAGTCCTTCATATATACACACATCAATTTCAAACAGATGGTATCGGTATTGGCCAATACTGCACAGCCAGGTATCGGGGCCAAAAAATGGCATGGGCGCATGTTAATCATTTTTAACCATTAATGCACTTCTCCATTGCCGTCACCATCTTGCTGTTTTGATATCAGAAAAGCAGTAAAGTAATTCTGGGGCTGAGATTGACTCCTCTTTAAGTCCCACCTCCCGTGCTGTGATTGGTCTAGCAAAATCTGTTTGGAGCTAATGGCGGTTTATCAGGCTGAATTACGCTATCCAGGCTAATAAAACTAAAAAGCAGGACATTCCTACCTATACAAATGACCTTTTAAACTATCTTGGTATCCCTACTGTACTTGTAAAAGTCATCAAACCCTCATCTGAGCTAAAATAAGTATTATTTCATTCATTTGAAGACATAAATGAGATAGAACCTTTGCTGTTTGATGGATATAATCCATGTTAGAGTTTGTATTTTTACTTTGATCTTCCAATCTGTTGTCCCAGTCTCACATTCTCAGGATTCAATAATGTTTCCAGCTTTTTTGTCTCTTTAAGTTTATAAAACTGTTTTTCCTCATGGTAAAAGGCTGTTTAATATTGTTGGCTTTGTGGTTGTATAAATGTACACTTTTTTTTTTTTTTATTGGTAATCAGTGTTTTGATGAGAATGTCCTTTATCCCAATTGACCAATTAAAGGGCTGGTTATTCTCCCGCAGCAGTGTGTCGCAATGAGCTTGTCGTAGGTATGACAAAGATATTTTTGATTGATGCCCATTTTTGAAGTGTGGTCTGCGCTATGTTATTCCACAAACAATCAGGAACTAGCTGTGGGTCTAGATATGGCCGAGACAGTGAAGAAGGGGGGACAAGGACAACGGAGGGACATAAGGGCGAAAAAGAGTGGGGATCCAGGTGGAAAAAGGCTCCCAGCGTTCTCGCGCGCTTCGCTCTTCTCGCCTGTCCATCTTCACGAGTCGTTTCCACAATGGCGGTCATACATACAAACAAGCCAGTAAGGTACCAAACAGGAAATACGCACAGTGTAGAGCAGATGTAGATTTGACCAATCAGAGGCCTCATCTCTGCAGCACTGTCTGTGATCACCTACAATTTTGGAGAGGTGCAGCAGAGTGTTTGTGGAAGTGGCGGGGGCATATCTGCGTTAACTGCGACAAACACATGGACGACCTGGTTTCTTAGCAGAAACTGGCATTGACTCCCAAAAAACTGCCCTGCCCAATTTACATTATCCAGCTATATTACTGAACGCCTTTACGCCCAGGGCCTAGGAAGAAAAGAGAAAAGGCTTTTTTTTTTTTTTTTTTTGGTACTTCAGCTCTTATTTTCTTATCATTTTCATCTCTGCAACAGCAATACGTTTATTTGATGGGCGGAGCCAGTCAGCTCCCTGTCGATTCTTCCTCAGACTTGGTAGTACCACACTCCGATTTGGATAGCAGGGATCCAGATCCTAACATTTTTATCAGAAATTGCAGTAATAATTTAGTCAAGATTTACTGTTATTTTGTCTAAATCTGTAGATATTTAGCTAAATATTATTCCTGTTCTAAATATTAAATCATATTGACAGAGTTGATTCTTAAAAGTTGTATCTGAGTCTCTGAGTCAGTTTTCTTGTATTGAACAAATAAAAATATTCTTAGTTTATTATTTTATTCTATTTTATCTGTTTTTTTAACAGAAGCAATTTTGCAGTGATTCTGATAATTATGATGAATCCCAAACATAAGGAGTTTAGAATTATAATTAAAACGTCCGTCCGTCCATCCATCCATCCATCCATCCATCCATCCATCCATCCATCCATCCATCCATCCATCCATCCATCCATCCATCCATCCATCCATCCAT